AAAAATACTTATTAGTAACATGAAAATTACATTTCTTTGGGAGGGTTTGCCTTCGCCATGCTTCCTGGAAGTAGGGGTAGGAACTTGACAGCCTCATGTGACAGGAAGGAAGTGAATACCTTTTTTTTTTTCTTGTATGTCATTGAGAAAAAAAACGTGGATAACATCTAAAAAAATACTTACAAAAGGTAAATGACAACTATAAACTGCGGCAACTATAGTTGCCGGTGGGCTTAAATGGGTTAACTGAAAATGTAGTGTTTACTATTGTCATTTTGCATTATTGACACCAGTGTTAATGTCTGGTAGTCCTCAAATAACATTATAGTCCCATCTCGTCTTGTTAACGAAGACGCGGCATAAATTTCATCAGTTTTTAACATCAGATATTAGTTTTATCTCGTCAATGTCTCGTCTTCGTCACAGAAAAAAAATGTTCGTTAATGAATATTTTTCGTCTTCGTTAACGAACATTTTTTTCTGTGACGAACACGAGACGTTGACGAGATAAAACTAATATCTGATGATAAAAACTATTACGAAATTTATGCCACGTCTTCGTTAACAAGACGAGACTATAATGTTATTTGAGGACTACCGGACATTGAAAATACATCCTATAGGCTACTGTCTTGTCCTTAAAAATGTGCGTCCCTGTCATTGGATCCCACTCTAAAGCGGTACTGAACTGCAGTGGAAACGCAAACCGATCCGAGCCGTGTCGTAACGTACTGAGCCGTGCCGAGTCGTACCACGCAGTGGAAAAGCGCCATAAGTCCATAGACTGTGATCTAGTCTCAGTATGGCAGCCGCAGTGGATGGATAGACTACCAAAATGTGAACTAACGATCTGAAACAATGGCCTTGGCACCTGAAAGGGTAGGGATATGGTGACCAGACGTCCCGTTTTTCCCGGGAGTCACAATTCGTTGTCGATTAACTTAAAGTTAGTGAAGGCGGGATAGGCGGAATTGTGCTGATAAAAGTGCTCTCTCTCGCGCACGCTCCACTTCTTCAGTTCTCATATACAGCTCGCGATCAGTTCCCAGCGCTCAAATACACACACAGCAGTCCAAACAGTGGCGGCTGGTGCTAAAAATTTTTGGGGGGGCGCAAACAACTGAAAATCAAACTGTTAGTAACTGCAGGAATGTAAAAGCCATTTATCAGGTGAGGATGTATCATTACTGCTTAGCTAAAAAAAAAAAATGAAAATACGACTGTTAAAGCATGCAATAAACGTACCACAAATCAGTGAATTTTAGTTCAATTTGGGTTTATTATCAGTAATGAAGTAATCAAGAAAACCATAATAAAAAAAAACAGAAATGTTGCCTAATCACTGGCCAGTAGCACTACTTGAAAATAAATTTTGCTCTCCTTTCTTTCTGGCTTGCAAATTTCTCAATGACCTTCTGGTTAAAGTCAGTCATCTCAGTCACCAGTCTCTTCTCCATTGACAGCATGGCCAATGCATTCAGCCTCTCTTGGGTCACGCTATTTCTCAGGTAAGTTTTAATTCTTTTCAAGGTTGAGAAGCACCTCTCAGCTTCTGCTGTGGTCATGGGTGTGGTTACAAGTATCTTTAGGAGAGTTATGGTCTCTGAAAAGACTTCCTCAAGATTGTTCTCCATAAACAGCTGGAGTAGATCCAAAGCACCACAACAGGCTCTGAACTCTTCCTTGCAGTAGATGAGACTAAGCTCTGTCTTCAGCTTACTCCCGTCGAGCACTGAATAGGCCTTCAAAGTCCTGCTCAGTGCATCTTCAGGAAACGCCATTGTGTACTGTTCAAACCTGTCTGCTTGAAGCAAGGTGGCACTAACAAGGTGGTTTGTGAAGGAGAACCATTCCATGGTGTGTAAGAGTATGGTATCACAGACCTATAGATTGAAGGATAAAAACAAAAATTATGTAGTGATGACAAAATGTCAACTTCAACTGCTACATTTAAAATGACCAATTTAAGTTATAAAGGGAGACCAACTTCATAAACATGTTCATTCTTAGTAAACATGTCAAGCTTCATGAACTTCTGATGCTCAGGGCGCTAACAGCAATTTTTAAAACACCAGCCATTTATTTTAATCAAACTCAGAGATGAAGGCTGTAATACTAATGTTGTCCACAAGAGGAAACCAAAGAATAACAAATCCTTTTAGATCAGTTTAAAGACTGTGTAAATGGTTAAAAATATAGCCTTGCAGTATATAAAAAATGCATATACATTTATTATGGTTTCATAAAGCCCAATATAATCAGCTTATAATCAACAAAACTGATCTCCAAAATACTTTTTATTATTAACTTTTTTATATAATGCTTCTATAATGAGACACTTAAAGACTCTTATTTGAAAAGAGACATGGTCATTGTATAACTGTATCATCTACACAAGCCATTGTGCTTGCAGCAAATTAATTTGCAACAAATTAAACTGCATTGTTTCATTTACCTTCTGTGGGTAATTGTAAATGTCTTTGGTGACTACAATATTATTGCTCCTCACATTGATCCCACAAACATGGAATAGTAATCCTCTCATAGTAAAGTTATCAAAACCAATGGGCAAATTTATTATTATTATTTATATTATTTAAATGTTTCTTTATCTTAAGGATCTACTCTTTCGTACAATACTTAAGCAACATTTTTTTATAAAATCAAAGACATGAGATTTTTACATTTACAAGTACCCATAGAAGGTAAATAAACAATGCAGTTTAACTTGTTGGTAATGGTTTATTTTGACTGCGATAAAAACTCACTTCTGCTGCAATCCGTTCATGGACCTCTGGACTGAGTGACCGCCGCCTCTTCGGTTGAGAACCACCTTCACTGCTTTGGGCAACCAGGGAATGGAGAGAATTTCTGTAAAGGAATAAGAAAACGTATCAATAATAATAATAAAAAAAATAATAATAATAATAAATGCAAAACAAGGAATACAGCTGCTACCTGATCTTCTGTATGTCCTGCTGGAACTGCTGGATGCTCCCCCTGATGTGGACTGAATCTATGTCCTTCTTCTGGAGTTTGGCATAGAGGAGGTCCACATGTGGCATGATGTTGTGGAAAAGTTGCAGAAAAAAAAACTTAAAATCCTGATCCTCCAGCAGCATGGCAAAGGTTCCTGCCTCTCTGACGGTAACAGGGTCAAAGTCACCTGAGTCTCGTATAGTTTGAAAACAGCGGATGAGGTCCTCTCTGTGCTCAAACACTGAATTGATGGCACGGCTGTGGAAGTTCCATCTGACTCTGCTTGATGTTGGTAGTCTATGGGCAACTACTTTATCAAGGACATCTGTGCTCTTGGGTGATCTTGAGAAAAAGATGGCAAATCCTCCAAGGTCAGAAATTATTATTTTTTTCTCACTTTGGGTATGTGAGAAGTGGCCTGTTGCATTATCAGATTGAGTTGTTGTGCATAGCAGTGGATGTAATAGCATTTGGGTACACATCTTGCATCTTCCTTTGAACACCTGCAGTGGCACCCCTCATCATGCTGGCTCCATCATACGCTTGGGAGATGAGTTTATTCTTCTGAACCTCTGGAAGGATGACAGCAAGATGCTCTTTTAGTGCTGTAGCGATGGAAGCAGCTGTAGTTGAACGCAGAGGAATAAACTCAAAAAACCTCTCCTGTACGTTGCTTTTGGCGTCAATGTACCGCAGCACAAGCACAAGTTGACACTGTGTGGCAATATCGGTGGTCTCGTTGGTCTGGATTGAGAGAAAGTCGCTGCTCTGTGCTTCTTGGATTATGTGCTCCCTCACAACAGACAACATACAGTCCAACAGCTCGTTCTGCGCGGTTTTCGAAGTTCCCTTAAACACTGTGGCATTCTCGAGGTGCTCTTTCAAAACTCCAAGAGAAGCAAAAAAATCGACCAGGCCACGTAATATCCCGGGATTGTCTGACGTCTCGCTCTCATCATGGCCACGCAAAGCCAGCTCAAACACGCCACAAAATTTCAGACAGTCTATTATTCTAGACAGGATATGTCTATTTTTAGTGACCTCTTCATTGTGCCTTCTAATGCCAATCCTGTAGCCTTCATCTAGCTGTTCAGCAATGCTAAGCTTCCCAAAAAACTGGAGCCTCATAGCTTTGTCAAGATGGCTTCGGCTAATTTCATGCTGCTTGCACTTTTCAGAGAGATGTTTTAAGTCGCGAACCCCTGTTGTTGTCCACAATGTTTCGGTGCCATGACTTTGAAACAGGTCTGAGTATGGTATCACAGACCTACGCAGTAAAGGATAAAAACAAAAATTATGTAGTGATGACAAAATGTCAACTTCAACTGCTACATTTAAAATGACCAATTTAAGTTATAAAGGGAGACCAACTTCATAAACATGTTCATTCTTAGTAAACATGTCAAGCTTCATGAACTTCTGATGCTCAGGGCGCTAACAGCAATTTTTAAAACACCAGCCATTTATTTTAATCAAACTCAGAGATGAAGGCTGTAATACTAATGTTGTCCACAAGAGGAAACCAAAGAATAACAAATCCTTTTAGATCAGTTTAAAGACTGTGTAAATGGTTAAAAATATAGCCTTGCAGTATATAAAAAATGCATATACATTTATTATGGTTTCATAAAGCCCAATATAATCAGCTTATAATCAACAAAACTGATCTCCAAAATACTTTTTATTATTAACTTTTTTATATAATGCTTCTATAATGAGACACTTAAAGACTCTTATTTGAAAAGAGACATGGTCATTGTATAACTGTATCATCTACACAAGCCATTGTGCTTGCAACAAATGAATTTGCAACAAATTAAACTGCATCGTTTCATTTACCTTCTGTGGGTAATTGTAAAAGTCTTTGGTGACTACAATATTATTGCTCCTCACATTGATCCCACAAACATGGAATAGTAATCCTCTCATAGTAAAGTTATCAAAACCAATGGGCAAATTTATTATTATTATTTATATTATTTAAATGTTTCTTTATCTTAAGGATCTACTCTTTGCTACAATACTTAAGCAAAATTTTGAATAAAATCAAAGACATGAGAAGACATTTACAAGTACCCATAGAAGGTAAATAAACAATGCAGTTTAACTTGTTGGTAATGGTTTATTTTGACTGCAATAAAAACTCACTTCTGCTGCAATCCATTAATGGACCTCTGGACTGAGTGACCGCCGCCTCTTCGGTTGAGAACCACCTTCACTGCTTTGGTCAACCAGGGAATGGAGAGAATTTCTGTAAAGGAATAAGAAAACGTATCAATAATAATAATAAAAAAAATAATAATAATAATAAATGCAAAACAAGGAATACAGCTGCTACCTGATCTTCTGTATGTCCTGCTGGAACTGCTGGATGCTCCCCCTGATGTGGACTGAATCTATGTCCTTCTTCTGGAGTTTGGCATAGAGGAGGTCCACATGTGGCATGATGTTGTGGAAAAGTTGCAGAAAAAAAAACTTAAAATCCTGATCCTCCAGCAGCATGGCAAAGGTTCCTGCCTCTCTGACGGTAACAGGGTCAAAGTCACCTGAGTCTCGTATAGTTTGAAAACAGCGGATGAGGTCCTCTCTGTGCTCAAACACTGAATTGATGGCACGGCTGTGGAAGTTCCATCTGACTCTGCTTGATGTTGGTAGTCTATGGGCAACTACTTTATCAAGGACATCTGTGCTCTTGGGTGATCTTGAGAAAAAGATGGCAAATCCTCCAAGGTCAGAAATTATTATTTTTTTCTCACTTTGGGTATGTGAGAAGTGGCCTGTTGCATTATCAGATTGAGTTGTTGTGCATAGCAGTGGATGTAATAGCATTTGGGTACACATCTTGCATCTTCCTTTGAACACCTGCAGTGGCACCCCTCATCATGCTGGCTCCATCATACGCTTGGGAGATGAGTTTATTCTTCTGAACCTCTGGAAGGATGACAGCAAGATGCTCTTTTAGTGCTGTAGCGATGGAAGCAGCTGTAGTTGAACGCAGAGGAATAAACTCAAAAAACCTCTCCTGTACGTTGCTTTTGGCGTCAATGTACCGCAGCACAAGCACAAGTTGACACTGTGTGGCAATATCGGTGGTCTCGTTGGTCTGGATTGAGAGAAAGTCGCTGCTCTGTGCTTCTTGGATTATGTGCTCCCTCACAACAGACAACATACAGTCCAACAGCTCGTTCTGCGCGGTTTTCGAAGTTCCCTTAAACACTGTGGCATTCTCGAGGTGCTCTTTCAAAACTCCAAGAGAAGCAAAAAAATCGACCAGGCCACGTAATATCCCGGGATTGTCTGACGTCTCGCTCTCATCATGGCCACGCAAAGCCAGCTCAAACACGCCACAAAATTTCAGACAGTCTATTATTCTAGACAGGATATGTCTATTTTTAGTGACCTCTTCATTGTGCCTTCTAATGCCAATCCTGTAGCCTTCATCTAGCTGTTCAGCAATGCTAAGCTTCCCAAAAAACTGGAGCCTCATAGCTTTGTCAAGATGGCTTCGGCTAATTTCATGCTGCTTGCACTTTTCAGAGAGATGTTTTAAGTCGCGAACCCCTGTTGTTGTCCACAACGTTTCGGTGCCATGACTTTGAAACAGCAAACACGGAAAACAATAAAAGGCATGACTTACATCACATCCAGCCAGCCAACTCCATTTGCCATAAGAAGTGCTGGAAAAGCCCCGAGTGTAGGCGCGAACGCGATCACTTGATTGCTGGTGAATTTGCAAGTACGGTCGATCTGGTCCAAACTCCTTTATCCTTTTTTTTTTTCATCCGAACGCCTTGTGAACGGGTATTTTTGTAAAGATAAAACCGAACTTTCTTTCATCTCGAGATATTGAGCTTGCTTCCACATTAATTAGTACCTGTCTGTCAACTGACGAGCTGCCGCTGAGCGGAATGAAAGTCTTTGAGAACGGTCCAATCACATGAGGCCAAACATATAAAAACAATATTGATTCGCTCTAACAACAAAAGTGGGAGGGTTCGTGGCAGAGCGCTGTGCCCCAAGGACAATTTGAAACAAGCCAATTAGAGCTTAGCCTCAAATCACATGCTTTTCAAAAGTTTGTGTACCTACATAGACACTCATTAGTCCAGCGCTCCGCAGACACATATGAAAGAAATATACCCACATAGTAATTTTTATCTCTGGCCTAGCTCCAGCCCACAACAAGCTTTTGCTTGGCCCACATACCGCAATGAATTACGGTACTAGTGTGGACCAGGTCTGGATTCCAGACAAGGGCCACACATGGGCCATAACTGGCCCAAGTCTCAGCCAAGTTAATTACCCATAACTGGCCCTGAATTGGGCCAGATCAAAATGTAACAATGGAACCAAAACACAACCTTAAGTAAACCATATCAACACCAATCTTTAACCAGAAAGCCCAAAACTGAGCCACACCTGAGCCTGATCCAGGTGAACTAAACCTGGCAGCCAAAATATGGGCCACAAGAGGGCCATGACAGAGCCATATCTCAGCCACCTGTATGACCATAGCTGGCCTATTCTGGTCCTATACGCTGGACCAGATGGGTTCCACATGTCAGCCTCAACAAAACCATAACCCACCCCTCCCAGATGAATAGTCACAACAACGACAGTATTCTGAACAAATATTTAATCATGTTTAATCAGCAAACCAAGTTGAATGAATCTCACACCTAACATGCTTATTTGTTTTGCTTGGGCAGTGTGTTCACCCTGTTGGAATATGGCAGTGTGAATTGGCTTTTAGGTGCTTTGGAACACAAAACAAAAAACAGTAAAAATATATATATTGTTTTTAATGTTAACGCAATTAACACAAAATTCTTAAATAAGGTACTTTCTCTATTTTTGCTATATTTAAGTGTTCATGTCTCTGAATAATATCTGCATGCACCTAAGTCTGAAGAGTACACATAATATCTAGTAGACAGAAATCCTTGTGAGTGAGAAGTCTGGGGTGGAGGCTGGATCTGGAACGGACTTCTGTCCAGGCTATCTGTCTTCACGAACTGCCCTGAAATACAATTCAATCAAACAATGTAGTGTGAGGCTCTTACATTCACAATGCTAATTTTGGCCTCAGTGGTGAAGTGTGCAGAAAATTCTGCCAGACTGAAATTTAGTCTGGTGAACAGTCTTCAAAAGTGCAAATCAGATTTGAAGTTTTAAGTACCTTTCAGGCTCGCGTGAGGTTTCCACAAGCAACAAAGTCTACTTGAACAAACGCTTCACTAAAGTTTAGAAAATAATTTACACACAGACCATTACAGTTTGAAGTGAGGTACGTTCACAGTACTCTGGTTCTTTCTTACCGTTATTAATTTTAATTTCAAAGATCTTTTTTTATAATCATCTGTGTCTTT